TGCTGCTTAGTTCATGGCATCCAGGGAAGAGGTGGGACACACCAGGACATGATAAAAGTCTCCAAAGTATATGCCTTGGTGACCTGTCTTTTCCAACCATGCCTTACCTGCCCACCACCTCCCTGTAGTCTGTTCACTAGTTAGTGGATTTATTTGCTGATAAGGCCAGAGCCCTCATGATCCAATCATTTCTTCAAAACTTTACTTTCTGAACTTTGCTGCTTTGGGGACCAAGCTTCTGACACACAGACCTTGAGGGACATTCCAGACCCAAATCATAACAAGTGGCATAATGGTTAAAGTTCCAGGATATTTTACTTAAAATTTTTATTAACATGAAATATCGCTTATTGTTATGGGATTCAATGTGTTATTTCAATACATGCATAATGGTGTAAAACTGGTCAAATTGGGATAATTAGTATTTCTATCTCTTTTTTTAATATTTGGAGGTTTGAACTACTTCTAGATCTTCACAAAGTATATAATAAGTCAGTGTGAACAGTAGTTGTCTTATTGAACTGTGGAACACCAGAACTCCTTCTGTGTTTTGGTACATTTATTCAATCTCTGTCTATCCCCCAGCCTTTAGTAATTATTATTCTGAATTCAAGTTTAACTTCCACATGTGAGAGAGAACATGCACTTCTGTATCTTATTTTACATAATGTAATATCCTCCAATTCCATCCATTTTGCTGCAAATGGCAGGACTTCATTCTTTATGTCTTGAGTAATATTTCATTGTGTATATATAGCATACTTTGTTTATTCATCCATTGATGTGTGCCTCTGCTAATTCTGTATCTTGGCTATTGTGAATAGTGCTGCAGTAAACATGGGGAGTAGATAATCTCTTTAATATGCTAATTTCACTTCCTTTGGATATATACCCAGAAGTGGAATACCTGGATGTATAGTAGATCTGATTTTAGTTTTTTGAGAAACTTCTATACTCTTCAAATTGATGCACTAATTTATATTACATTCTACCAGTAGTTTAAGAGAACAGTTCCCTTTTCTCTGCATTCTTGCCAGCAATTGTGACTTTTTTTGGGGGGGGTGGGTAGATGGATACAAATATCTTTATTTAGTTTTATGTGGTGCTAGGGATTTAATCCAATGTCTCACGTGAGTTAGGCAAGCATTCTACCAGTGAGCTACAACCCCGGCCCCATGACTTTTTTTAATAGTAGCTATTCTAACTAGAGTAACATGATAATTCATTGTGATTTTGATTTGCATTTCCCTATTTGCTAAGGATAAGGAGCATTTTTTCCACATATTTCTTGGTTGTTTGTATTTGTCCTTTTGAGAGATACTTGGTCAGATCATTTATTCATTTTTTATTTATTGTTGAGGGTTTTTTTTTGTTGTTGTTGTTGTTACCAGGGGCACTTAACCTCTGAGCCATATTCCCAGCCCTTTTTATATTTTATTTAGAGACAGGGTCTCACTGTGTTGCTTAGGGCCTTGCTTAGTTGCTGAGGCTGGTTTTGAATTTGTGATCCTCCTGACTCAGCCTCCTGAGTTGCTGGGATTACAGGCATGCGCCACTGTGCCCAGCGTTTGAGTTCTTTTTTGCATTCTGGGAGTAGTCATTTGTCACATGAATAGTTTGCAGATATTTTCTCCCATTCTTTTGGTTATCTCCTCACTCTTTCCTTTTCTATGCAGAAGCTTTTTGGTTTGACAAAATTCATTTATCTGTTTTTGCTTTTATTTCCTGTGCTTTTGGGGTCTTAATCTAGAAAAAGTCATTTCCTGTGTGGATGTCTTGAAGTGTTTCTTCTTTTTCCTAGTAGTTTCATCATTATGCAGGTCATCTGTTTAGGTTTTTGATCCATTTTTGTGTTCGCTTTTGCATAGGCAACAAATAGGAGATATATTTTCGTCTTCTGCATATGGATATCTAGTTGTCCCAGCACTGTGCATTGAAGAGGCTGCCCTTTCTCCATTGTCGTCTTTGGCAAGAACCAGTTGTCTGTAGATGCAGGGGGTTATTTCTGGGATTTCTGTTCTGTCCAATGATCTGTGTGTCTGTTTTAAGCCAATACCATGATGTTTTTGATTACTATACTTTATCAGATATTATGAAACCTTCAGCTTCTCTTTCTCTCTTTCTTCCTTTCCTTTCCTTCCCTCCCCTCCCTCTTTTTTTTTTTTTTTTTTTTTTTTTTGGTGGTACTGAGTCCAAGAGGCTTCTCTGATTTATATCTCCATCACCCACCCACCTTTTCTTGTAGACAATGTCTTGCTCAGTTACCCCAGCTGGCCTCAAGCTTGCAATCCTCCTGCCTCATCCTTCCAAGTAGCTGGGATTATAAGCATATGCCATCATTCCTGGCTTCAGCTTTATTCTTTTTGTTCAGGATTGCTCTGGCTACTTATTCTTTTTTTTTTCCGTTTCCCGATACTTGGGATTGAATTCTGAGCCTTATGCATACTAGGCAAGCGCTCTGTCATGTATCCCTGGCCATTATTTGAGACCTTTTGTGTTTCCATATGAATAATAGTTTTTTTTTTCCCCCTGTGAAGAATGGCATTGTTATTTTGATAGGGATTGCATTGAATCCTTAAATTGTTTTAGGTAGCTATGGACATTTTATCAATTCTGTCCACGAACATGGGGTATTTTACCATTTTTTTGACATTTTGGGATTCAGATCTTTGGTTGAATTTAATCCTGTGTATTTTCTTTTATAGCCATTGTGAGTGACATTGCTTGCTTTCTTAGCATGTTCTTTATTGGCATATTAAAAATGCTGCTGATGTTTGCATGTTGATTAAAGCTCTTACAGTTTAACTGAATTTGTTTGGTTAATTCAGTCATCTTTTGGCAGCGTTTCTTTTAGAGGAGCGTTTGCTTTTGGACTAGAGTAGAGGTAGGAACTGTCCTAATAGAGTGCGTGGTCATAAGACATTTCACGTGGACATTGAATACCTTCAGAATGGTGACAGAACATGGGATCAAGAAGGACTGAACCAGTTACCAAAGATGTCAGCAAATGTGGCAGATTTGATTAGGAGCTTGGTAGAAGGATAGAGCTGAGAAGGGATTAAGTGATAGATTTAGTTTTTAGGTATTTCATAAAGCATGAAGGTGAAAGAGTAGTGATTTAGAGGTGGTAGTGGTGATCTAAGAAAAGTGTCCACGTTCTTTTGAGAGGGAAATGCAGCTGTCACTTGAAAGCAATGCTGTAAATTAGGATTTAGATAACACAAGAGGATTGAAGGTTACATTCTCTAAAAAAGTTCAGGATGCAGAATTTAGTTGTATTGTAATGGGCATTCAAGGGGCACTGGAGGATCAGAAAGGAAGACCTATAGGGACAACAAAAATCTGGGGGGAAAAGGCCAGTTACGGGAATTGAGATAATAGAAAAGGTAGTGGAATTGGGATAATAGAAAAGGTAGATTACCAGATAGGTTTGCAGTTTGGATTAATGGCTAGGAATGATAAAGGGGATTAACCAGTCTGAACATTTAAATGGAATTCTGATAAAAGTTGTTTAGTGTCTTCTTGAGATAGAAGGGGGATTAGCAGAGATGACAGCAGCTATATAGATATGATAATCAAGCTTTAGCATATCTTGGTCAAATCACTAAGGAGTATTTGAGTGGAGTGGAATTATTAACATAGAATATTACTGTTTCTGGAGAGATTTTCCTTCAGGTTGGCTTTATTCTCTTAACTCTTGGGGAAATGGTTGTTTAATCAGTTAACTGTTAATTATCCTAGTTTCAGATTCTCTTCATATGATAGAGAAAATTCTGTATCATTAGAGAGATGTTGAATACCTCCCCCTTCTAGCATTCTAAGAAATCTCATAAGAGAAAGTGAGATTAGACATTAATTCTATACAATTTTTTTTTTTAAAGATATTGGGGATCAAACCTAGGACCTTACTCATGCTAAATTCACAGCTGCTTTTTTTCGTATTTTGTGACAGAGTTTTTCACTAAGCTGCCTAGACGGTCTCCAACTTGCAATCTTTCTGCCTCAGCTTCTCTTGTAGCTCAGATTTTGGGTGTGCATTTTCCTAATCTCTTATGTGTCCCCAGATTGTGTTCTGAACATATAAATTTGCTCATAAAAGCTAGATTACTTTCTATTTTAATTCCTTAAAAGAGATTAGCTCATGCTGTCATATAACAGTTGTAGTTATCATGTTGGTAGTATTGCTTCAGTTGTCTCTGCTCTGAGACCAAGTGTCCCTTCATATAGTATATGTATGTGTGTGTATATACATATGTATTAATTATTGGTTTTTAATTTACTTACCTGCAGTACTAGGAATGAAACTGAGAGCTTCATGTAAGCACTCTGTCACTGAGCTACATTCCCAGCCTATATCAGTATTCTTGATGGTCTCTTTGTGGTCAGGACCAATTTGGAGTGGGAGATTTTTAGGATTGTGAGTAGAAGTTCTTTGCATTCCATCCTATAGTTGTGTATCATTGATTCCCAGTTGTGGACAAATTTGCCTTTCAGGGAATCTTTGTCAATATCTGGAAACATTTTTTGTTGTCTCCACTTGGTATGGATTGAGACTGCTACTGGCATTGAGTGGGTAGAGACCAGGGATTCTACTGAAAATCCTACATTGCATAGGACAACCTCCCACAACAAAGAATTATCTTGCTCAAAATGTTTAAATTGCCTTGGTGTACATTAACTAACATCTGAATACTTAGTGACTAGTTAAGGGCTGAACTACATGATCTAATTTAAACTGTAGGACAGTTCTGTGAGGTAAGTGGTAAAGTGTTATCACTTTATTATGAAGGAAGGCCTTGAAGGACCATTCATCATGAGAAAACAGGATACAAACTTTAGGAAATTTTTAGTACATAAGTATTCAGGATACAAGTGTGGTTTTTTTTTTTTCTTTTTTGGTTTGTTTTTTTAAAAGGCCTTTCTTTAGTTCTTATTCTTTTGCAGGGACAAATATTTATAGAATATTTATGGAAGTACATAATTTATTTTTAATCTTACAGATCTAGAAATGGCCATTGCCTACTGGAACTTAGTGCTTAATGGAAGATTTAAATTCTTAGACTTATGGAATAAATTTTTGTTGGTAAGTTCACATTTTCTATAGTTCCATATATTTTCTCCATGATTATGCTGTATGTAAAGAGGAATTAACATTTTAAAGCATGATTACTCATTTAAGAGCATGTAAATGGACATAGAATAAGAAATTTGATTATCAGAATTGCATTCTTATATTTAGTGTCATCTGGACTATTTTTTTCTAACTCTTTATAGTGATACGAATGTTTTTATTTTTCAATAGGAACATCATAAACGATCAATACCAAAAGATACTTGGAATCTTCTTTTAGACTTCAGTACAATGATTGCAGATGACATGTCTAATTACGATGAAGAAGGTAATAAAACTTTTTTTTTTTTTTTAATTTGCTATCTTTTATGTGGTGGGGGCGTTACTGGGGATTAGACCCAGGGGCACTTTACCACTGATGTAAATTACCTGCCCTTTTGTATTTTTTTGTAACAGGGTCTCACTAAATTGCCCCTTTTGTCCTTGACTTTGGAATCTTTCTCTCTTAACCTCCCTGAATCATTGGGATTGTAGGTATGCCCTGTTTCTAATTTTTTTTTTTTTTGTTACCGGAGATTAAAACTAGGGGTGCTTAATCACTGAGCCACATCCCCAGTCCTTATTTTTTACAGACAGGGTTTCACAGAGTTGCTTAGGGCCTTGCTTAGTTCTAGCCTTAAACTTGTGAGCCTCTTGAGCTGCTAGCGTTGTAGCATGAGCCACTGTACCCAGCCTCTAATCTCTTTTTATCACATATCCCTGAACTTCCTATCCAGAGGCTGTTTTTCTTAGAGTTGAATTTTCCTCCTGAGCTTTTATTTATTCTCTTTTATTTTTTGGTTTTGGGGCTTCAGCGTGTTGAATTTATCCTGTCATATGAAGATATAGTTTTTTTTTTTTTTTTTTTAAGTCTTTTTTAGATGTTGGTGGGCCTTTATTTTGTTTTATTTATATGCGGTGCTGAGATTCGAACCCAGTGCCTTGCACATGCTAGGCAAGCACTCTCCCACTGAGCCACAACCCCAGCTCCCAAGATATAGTTCTTTATCTTTAGTAGTATTCTTTCTTCACTTATCTCTGCTTCAGGACCAGTTTAAAGGCCAAAAGGTCCTGGGCATTAGCCAAGACTGCCACTTCTGAGCTATGCCCCCAATCCCTATGTATGCTATTTTAAATGTATGTAATGCCTTCATTTTCTTTACCATCTATATCATTTGGTTTCTTTAAAATCCAGTGAGTGGGTTAGAGGTGTAGCTCAGTGGTAGAACACTTGCCCAGCATGTGTGAGGCCCTGAGTTTGGTCCCCAGCAAAAGAAAAGAAAAAAAGCCAACCAGTATTCTTGTCTGCCAGAAAAACATAAGAAAAGCATGAGTGATTTTCACTTACATTTTAGATTTTCAGTTGAAAGAATATATTCTCTTCTTAATGTGTTCTTATATTTACTCCTATGTATTTTTATTGTTTTCTGCTAGTTTGCAAGCTCTTTAAGTTCACTGATTTTGCCTAATTTGAAATGCACTTTAGCTATAGGTATTCAGTAAACATTCATTGATTGAGTACTTTTCTGCTGTTTCTTCATAAAAATGATGCTGCCATCTACTACCACTATATACACTTTTTTTTGTTGTTTTAAATTGATTTATTCACACATACTTACCTAATCCCCCTCGAAAATTAACAGGATGGCTTTTTTTTTTTTGGTGCTGGGGATTGAACCCAGGGTCTTTTGCATGCAAGGCAAGCACTCTACCAACTGAGCCATATCCCCAGCCCTAGCAGGATGACTTTTTGAGATTGCTAAATATGGTAGTATTAGAAAATCTTCTATGGCTGGTCTTGACCTCTTTGTAGTGTCCTGGAACCATTTAAACTAACCAGGGATGGTGTCTTCTCTCCATTTTTGTTGTCATGTATTGTCTTCACTGTGTTTAATCTTACGTATGCCTGATAATTAGGCTTTCTGTTAGGTTTTATGCAAAACTAGAGACCTTCCTGATTTGGAGATTGGCATGAGGATATGTAGAGATGTGCATATGTGCAATTTAAAATCTTTTAGTCATTTATTTTCATGAAATAGAATAGATTTTGATACTTGCTGTTAGTTTTCTTTTTAAGAGTGCCACAAAGTGCCTGGAAACTTGTTTCTTCCTGCTATGCTCACAGCGCTGGCAGCATGTTATCACTTAATGGCCATCCATTAGGCTGCCAGTTTTGATCAAATTACTTCCGTTGCCAGACTTCAGTGGCCTTCAGGAAACCAGAATGCTGTAGTATTGATTGATTGCCAGAAGAATTATTTTTATCACTTAGGGAGCAACCATATGTTGGAATAACAGATTAGAGAGAATACAAGGAATATTTGGGGTAAAAACTACAAAGCTTGAATTTTGAAACACTTATTAGTGGTAAAAGATAAGAATGATATAATTTAACTCTTAGGAAGATATTTTTTAAAAACCAAAGGAAGGCTGAGTACAGTGGTACATGACTATAATCCAGTAGCTCAGAAGGCTGAGGCAGGAGGATTGTTCAAAGCCAGCCTCAGCAACTCAGCAAGACCCTAAGTAACTCAGCAAGACCCTGTCTATAAACAAAATGTAAGAAAGGGCAGGTGATGTGGCCCAATGGTTAAGTGCCCCTGGGTTCAATCTCTACTACCAAAAAACAAAAAAACAAAACCACCAAAGGAATCTATTAAAATATTAGCCTTACTTTGGTTTTTCTTTTTTCCCAGGAGCATGGCCTGTTCTCATTGATGACTTTGTGGAATTTGCACGCCCTCAAATTGCTGGGACAAAAAGTACAACAGTGTAGCACTAAAGGAACCTTCTAGAATGTACATAGTCTGTACAATAAATACAACGGAAAATTGCACAGTCAATTTCTGCTGGCTGGACTGAACTGAAGATCAATCCTCACAATTCAAACTGAGGGTTGAGACAAAACTTTAAGGATACATCTTGGACCATATCGTATTTCATTCTTCTAATGGTGGTTTGGGCTTGTCTTCTAGTCTGGGCCGCTCTAAACATTTATAATTCCAACGTTGTGGATTTCATCTTATATCTGTGGACCATCCTAGTTTATTCTCCCATAAGTCTTAGAAGCTTTATGGTGATTATTTTGAGGTTTCCATTCTCGCATAAAGCACAATGCTGTCTTCATCAGAAAACAGTTTGGCATAAGAATTAAACATAATGAACATCACAAACAATTTATAAGAACTTCTTAAATATATGCTTTGGGCTAGTTGCAAAGACTATGCTGATAGCACTTCCAATGAGAGTGATATATTTAAGTGTACTGGATCTGAAATGGTGTTTTGGTTTGGGGGGATATTTCTTTTTCCTGACAAATCATATGTGTTGTTGATGTGCGTAGAGAATCTGATGAAAGAAACGTCAAAATAACCAACGTGAAAAATTTTTAGGATAACTTGGTGCCTACCTGAAAAATGTGTTTCAGACTCATAATTTCAAAAAGGTTTCACAGAACTAGTCTGCATTTAACTTTACCCATGTTTATATATAATGGTCCTACAGGGAGCTTTTATTTAGAAAATGTCTGCATAATGTTAGATTCCACTCTTATCTACATTATGCGATACATAATTAGATTTCATTATGCTTTTGAAATGCTTATATGCCTATCAATAAGTTAAACTATTTAATTTGTTTTGAATGTTTTGGGTTGCCACACAATACAATATTCTAAATTTAGGCATGAGGGTTTTTGTTTTTGTTTTTTTCTTTCTGGTCATCGCACTATGGAACACAAATGAAATTCTTTTAATTTATAAAAAGATAGTAGGAATTAAATTTTGGAAATGGTTGTGATGAGCCATGAAGTTCAATCTATATAATATAGGTACTGCTCTTTCAGAAAAGTAGTCCATTTTTGATGACTTCTTATTTTGTTGAAATTGCTTTAACTGCTAATCACTGTGGTTGCCAAATATTTACTTCAGGAGCAAAGATTTTCAAACAAGCATGTACTTGATGCAAAATACCAATCTGGCTTCTATTTTTGTAAACTTAGTCTTTTTACTGTTTTTCTTTCACTCAAATTAGTTCAGTTTTCACATCAAAGCAGAATACTCTCTTGTATGCATTTTTTTTATTACAAGACCCATGAACTGCTTTCCTGCTGAAAGTGCTCATTTCTCTGCTTATTTACTGACATGTGAAGAAGGGTTTATTGGTTTCTTAAACATTTCCGTAAGGCATGTTAAAAATGCTGAACTTCAAACGTTAGATGACTGTGGTCTCTTAATAGGAACAGATATTGCTTGGTATTTCCAGGTACTCTCTAAGGTCTAGTATTAAAAAAGGAATGTATGTATGTACTTCAGAATAGCAGTACGTTTTATGCAGATGTGGAAATGATTTTAAGAAACAATGACATTAAAACTGCTTTTTATTTACATGATTTGGAAATTGACTAAAAGCTTATCCCATAGATATTATATTAATATTCCAATCATAACTTTAATTGAAGAATGTAAGTCTGCAGAAAGAAAAATTATAAAATTTCTGTTCAGGTTACAGGAATTGGTTATTATAAAAGAAAAACAAAAGAAGGAAAAGAATCCTGCTGTTTTCAGTATTTCCTGATTTAATTTTTGTAAATATGAAGAGGAACTTCAATTATGAAAAAATTTTAAATGATACATATATGTGTTTTCTGTCTTAAAGATTCAAGTTTTATTTTCTGTCTTAAAGATTTCAAGTTATGTTATTGTTTTCAGATTGACTAATTCAAGTATGCTGTGTTTTGAAATGAGATCACATTAGCCTTTTTTTCCCCAATATAAATTGTTTTTCATAAAAATCTGATATTGGTTGTGGCCTAGTGCCTTGGATTTTACAGAATTTTCCTTTTAAATGCAAGCCCTCTTCAACAAAATAGTGTTTGTCATCAGTTTGGTACTAAACATTTATAATTACTGTGTAATTATAAACGAAAATACATAAAACTTTGAATATAATTATGTAGCATTAAAGTTAAGGTTGTTCACTATGATGGCATCTTAGAATTAAACAAAACTATTACTAGGGCTGAAAAGAGAAAATTGATTTAATGTGGTGTGATTATTCTGAGGATAAATGGTTACAGGGATATTTTGTACTAAATAATGCTTACACGTATGGTTGTATGCATGTGTGAGTGTGTGCGAGTTTGTGAGAGAGGAAGACACATACACACACAACTTGAATTGCTTTAATTCATAAGTGTTTCAGTCTTCATTCTGGTCACCTCCCCATGCTGATTCTTTGTTTCAAACTGACCCACAGGTACAGTTTCGTTTTTGCCAAATGTCAGAACAGGTACACATTTTAAAATGTATAAAATTAGAAGTACCCACATATAAAAATACTTGAGAATCAAGGTTATCTTTAGTAAATATCATCTGCATATCTCTGTAAGTTCAATTGTGTTTCTTATAATCCCTGTCATATTACCAACAGAGGCAATAAAAGCTTCAGTGAAATTGCCATGATAAATCTTTTCACATATTATTTCAGTGTATTATTTTTGAAAATACTAAAATATACCTGAAAACTTTTCCAGGAAGAATAATTATTCATAAAGAGCATTGTAATGGCAAGTTTTGGGGAGAAAAGATATGCCAAGTCTTGTTTACTACATTTAAAATGTTTACAACTATACTGGGCTGCTTTATTTAATTAACAATACTATAGTTGTGTAATATGGCATTGTAAGTGTGTTTTCTTCATTAGACTTTTAAAAAGTTTTAATGAGAGCAAGTACATTTATTTAACAAAAACCTGGAAAATCTTTTACATAATATCCTTACCAGGAGAATTCTTATTCCCCTCAGGTTTTAAGTGAAGTGTTATTTATTTTTTATTTGATGATAAGAAGTATGAGTAATTGTAGCAAGTTTAATGTGCACTTTGCTTAGAGTTTAAAACATGTTACTTTCAAGACTACTTACTGTAGACCTGTAATTTTTGCATATTAATGACAGAAGAAAATTAAAACTAATGAAAAGAATTTTAGAATAAAAAAGAAAAGTGGTACTGGGGATATATTTATTATAGTCAACAAAATATGCCTTTGTAAAAAACTGAATCAGCTTTTAGGAAGAATTAATTTATGTAGTTCTAAATATTGAATTGTATATATTAAATAGGAAATACTTATGACATCTCAGTAATTTCCTTTAATGTTACCTTATACTTTTAACAATGATTTATATTGAATAGTTAAATGTTTTAATTCGATTTTATCAAATTTGAAAATGTAATGATAAAACACTTTAAAATGTGAATTATATAATATATATCTGAATAACTGAGGACACAAAACCTGGATTGTGATTTCTACATAATATGGAAAATAGGGTTCAAATTATGGTTCATTTAGTTGGTTGTAAACTTTTGAGTGTACTTCTGAACTCCTTATTGCCTCCATTTTTACAATTCCATAGTAATAATTTTTATTTCATAGAGATTAATCGAAGTTATTTTCATGGCACCTTTACCTTTGATTTCTGAGGGGAAGGGATTCATATTTTGTAATCAAATTAAAAAATTCTTAATTGTACTAATTTCCCTTTCCAGGTTTATCCTTATATTTTATTGCCATTTTGAGTGAACATTTTCTTTATATCTGATTCTGGAGGCAGATAGAATTTTTTTTTTTTAACTCAGTTACATAAAACTGTTTTATCAGGCATTCTGCCATCATCTTTACTATCTGTTAGGCAAGTGGCATTTCCTGTTTATCAGTTTATTTGACTACTTTCCTCTAAGTTCAGTGTTTGTGTTATGTGACTTGTCTTTGGTTGATTTTTTTAAAAAAATCTGTCATAATCAGGAAATGATAAAAGGTGTATGGCCTTTGTAGCAAATGGAATTCCTAAAGAATAATGTATTTATGGAGTTTCAAAGGGAAATTAAAGGAAAATCATTTTATAGTTATTTTTTTTAATTGAGATTTAAAAAATTATTTAAATGTATTTCAAGTTTCTCTTTTGAGTGTTAGTATTTTCAATTTAAAAATTTTTGGAGTTGTGTTTTGCCAAAATCATAAGAGTATCTTGTAATTTATAACATTGGTTTTTAACGGCTATAACTTGGGATTGCTTTGGGCCATAGCAGACAGGGTGTCTTCTACTTCATCTTTTTTTTTTTTTTAATTTTTATTGTTGGTTGTTCAAAACATTACATAGTTCGTGATATCTACTTCATCTTTAGCTTTGTACTTTTATCTGTTGTAGGCACTTAATGTTTCATATGAGACTTGACTTGAGTTTGATTTTAATAGTTAAATGTTCTCAATGGCTGCTGAGAGGGAACATTAACTGACATATCTGTACTTGGCTGAAATTCAAGCCATCCTGAGCATGGAAGTCAACAGTGCTTTGAAAATAAGAACCCATCAAATTCAAAGCAAAGAAGAATTTTGAAACAATTGAAATGTTTGAAACTTATCGGGGACAGCACTTGAAGTGACTTAATGAGCAAAGGAGGAGGAAAAAAAATAGGAAAATATCTGTTTTCATATTTAGAAAGAATGTATGTATTTAAAAATGTTCAGTATAAATACTAAGATTTTTATTTCAGGTTATGAAATATTCTGAGAAAACTCATGGAAAATTGGGTCAATATCAAGTAACAGATTTTTATAAAATGGAATATTATAGGGTATAAGATTAGGGTAAAAACAAATTAGTAAAATAGAAAAGAGATGATCCTAATGTAAACAATAAGCAGATTTTTGTCACAATTACAAGACTTATAGCTTGAAGGAGCAATATTTGATCAGTAACATTCAGAGAGAGATTTGCCTGGAAAGTCTTTCAAAGATGACTTGTTTAGTTTTCAAGCAATTGCTAATGTTAATCCTAGTAGTATATTAGAAGTCATTGTATTGGAATTATTTGAAATGAATGGGCTGTCAGTCTTAAAAGTTACTCCTAAGATTTTGTTATAATGGTGTTTAAAAGTTTTGGGTCTGGGATGTAGTTTCAGTGTTGAGAAGCACTGCCTACCATGAATCCAGTCTGAGTTCAGTCCCTGGCATCAAAACCATTACAAAAATAGCTTTATTAACATAATTTATGTACCATAAAATTAATCCATTTAGATATACAAGAATTTAGCAAATTTATAGTTATACAATCATCACAATCCAATTTTTAGACCATTTTCAGTGGTCCAAAAAGTCTTTATTTTGCTCCTTTGAAGTTAATTCTCTTTCCTATTCTCAACTCTAGGTAAACTCACTGATTGCTTTCAAGTGTAAGTTTCCCTATCTAGAAATTTCACCTAAGTAGAATCATACAGTTTGTACTTTTTTTGCATCTTTCATTCAGCATGTTGTAGAGGTTTATCAGTGTTTTACTTTATATGTACTTAGTTCTTTTGCTTACCGAACTATTCCAGTGTTTGGATATACTATGCTTTGATTTTCTAAACTGGTGATAAGATATTGGCTTACTCTTTTAATAATAATGCTATGAACAGTAACGTGTATGTCTTTGTGTGAACAAATTTTCATCTCTGCAATGGAATTGCTAGATTGTGTTGTAAATTTAATTTTTAAAAAAATACTGTGAAACTTTTTTCTAAAGTATCTGTACCATTTAGAATTCTGCCTGCCATAACATTCGAGGTTTGCAATTCACATTCTTGCCAATGCTTGTTTTTGTTTTTCACTTTTGCCATTCTGGTGGATATGTATTTTTTTAATATTTACTTTTTTAGTTGGACACAATAGTTTTATTTTTATGTGGTACTGAGGATCAAATCCAGAGCCTCGAACGTGCTAGGCAAGAGTTCTACTGCTGAGCCACAACCCTAGCCCTTGGTGGATATGTATTTTAAGTGTACAACTTAACACCTGGCTATCCTAATTCATATATGGAATGTGCAATTTGGGTGAGTATTCAAATGGCCCAAGGGATTGCTGTAGAATTAGTTAAGTTACTAAAATCATCATGGATCTGTACTTAATGTGGAGGTAGTATTTTCTGTAACCTAAGCGGGTAATTCTTACACCTGTAGTGCCCTCAGTGATCTCTCTTCAGTTGCCGTGAGGTGGAGTGTTGCTGACTGTTGGTGTGTGGCTGGTGTCTCGTGTACCTTGCTTGATAGAGCTACTACCCGGTTAGCTTCTGACTGGTAAGGGTAATTAAAACTTAACATAAATTACTGTGTACATCTCGTTTTCCTAATCTTTTGGGAATTAAAAGATTGAGTTTATAGACATTTAGTTGATATCATTTATTGCTGAGCACTTTTCAGAGTGCTCTTGTAGTTGAAGTGAGTACATTTTATTTTTAAATGCTCTTATTAGCACATTATAGTTAAACATAATAGTTGGGTCCATCTTGACGTAATTATACATGCATGGAGTTTAATTGGGTTCATCTCAGTCCCCAGTGCCTTCTTTTTCCATTCCCCCCTCCTTCCCACTATTCCTCTATTATGCTGGTCTTCTGTCTAATTTGTTTTTTAAGTTGGTGCTTTATAGATATATGTAAAGATGGAATTTTTAGCATAATATAACCATTGAATTAATTCTACATTTCCTCCCTTTCCTGCCCATCTCCCCACCGCCCCCATTCTTCTACTTCACTAATCTTCCCTCTATACCCTTAGAAAATATGACCCTGTCCTGCTTTTTTCCCTTATCTTAATCTAGCTTCCATGTGTGAGAGTGTTTGAGCCTTGACTTTCTGTGTCTGGTTTATTTCACTTAGTAAGATGTTCTCTAGTTCCATCCATTTGCTGACATGCCATAATCTCATCTTTTTTTTTTAAGATGCTATCAGGGAATGAACCTACAGGCGCTTATCTATTGAGAGACATCCCCAGCCCTTTTGTTTAATTATTTTGAGACATGATCTTGCTAAATTGCTTAGGGTCTCACTAATTTGCTGAGGCTGGCTTTGAACTAGTGATTCTCCTGCCTCAGCCTCCCAAGCTGCTTGGATTATAGACATGCATCATTGTGTCTGGCCATAATTTATTTCTTCATGGCTGAGTAAAACTTCATTGTGCATATTTATATATTATATTTTCTTAATTCATTTTTCTGTCAATGGGCATCTGGACTGATTTTATAATTGGCTATTGTGAATTATTCTGCTTGTAAATATTGATGTGCCTGTATCATTACAATATGCTGATTTTCGTTCTTTTGGGGTCAACACCGTGAGTGGCATAAGTGGGTCATATGGTGATCCTATTCCTGTTTTGGGGGGTGGGGTGGGGGGTGGGGAAGGACTCTATATACTGCTTTCCAAAGTGGTTGTACTCATTTGCAATCCCACCAACAATGTGTGAGTATAAATTTTCCCCTACATCCTCACCAGCATTATAGATAGACTGATTTTTTTTTTTTTTTTTTTCAGTGCTGGGGTTGAACCCAGGGCCTTGTGCATGCAAGGTAAGCACTCTACCAACTGAGATATATCCCCAGCCCCTCCCTATATTCTGATTGTTATTCTAACTGGAGCCAG